CAAACAGACCCCTGACTCCAGACAATTACTGGGTCAGGACTTTTCTGTTGTCCTGTTAGAATATCCTTCCAAAGTACCTTGGGCTTATGTACATTTTTTGGACACATATGCCTTTCCGCAGCACAAAGCCCTGATGAATCCAAATTTAAAAAGTTTAGAATAAAAAGTGTTATTTTAAGTTTATCTTTGGGGAATATATACCCCTTCCCAATTCCCTCTTTTTGCTTTAATAAGTACATTTTAATAGTTTGATGAGCTCTTTCAACTATGCCTTGTTCCTGTGGATTGTATGGGATTCCTGTTATATGAGTAATGCCAAATTATGAGCAAAATTGTTTAAAAGAGGTAGAAGTATAACCAGGGGCATTATCTGTTTTTAACTGTTTTGGAATGCCCACAGTGGCAAAATTTTGTAAGCAATGAGCTATAATATCTTTAGTTTTTTATCCGGCATGAAGGGAGCCCATCAAAAATCTGGAAGAAGTATCAACTGTAACATGCAAATATTTTAATTTTCCAAATTCTGGCAAGTGTGTGACATCCATCTGCCAAATATGGTTAGGTATCAGTCCTCTAGGATTGACTCCAAGATTAACTTATGGTAAAAAGGTCACACAATTTTGACATTGTTTTATTATTTGTCTAGCTTGTTCCTTAGTTATTTTAAAACGCTTTTGTAAAGTATTAGCATTGACATGGAACTTTTTATGAAAATTTGTAGCTTCTTCTAGTGTAGAGAAATATGTATGTCATGTGTAGTTTTATCTGCTAAATCATTGCCCAAACTAAGGGCTCCAGGTAATCCTGTATGTGCCCTGATATGTCCTATAAAGAATGGATCTTTTCTATCCCAGATTAGACTTTGTATAGTGGAAAGCAAAGAGAAAACAGTAGAAGAAGGGGAAATCCTACCAGCATCTTCAAGGGATACTATAGCATTAACTATATACTGACTAACGGAAAATAAATTAAATACAGAATCTTTAAACATCACAAAAGCTTGTAATACTGCATTAAGCTCTACCTTTTGAGCTGATTGTTTGGGTACTAAAAATGTAAAAGTTTGGTCAGGTGTAACTATTGCTGCTGTACCATTATTTGACCCATCAGTGAATATATTTGGAGCATTCATGATAGGTGTTTTTCTTGTCATTTTTGGAAAAATTACAGGATGCAATGACCAAAAAGACAATAAAGGATTAGATGGTAAGTGGTTATCAAATGAAACATTAGATTTGCACATGATTATTGCCCAAGTATTTAACTCATTAGCTAACTCATTAATTTGATCCATAGTATATGGAGTAATAATTTTATTGGGAGAAATTCCAAACACTCCCTTTGCTGCTTTTATTCCTTTGAGTATTAATTGTCCTACAGTCTCAGGATACCTAGTAAGAATAGTGTTAGGAGATAAGATAAATGTATCCATAATAATGGAACTTCTTGCCAAAATACTCCTGTAGGAATATTTTTTAGTTGTTGGTAGTACACTAAATAATAAAGGCAAACTTATGTCAATTCTATCCAAATGCATATTTTCCATATATGTTTCAATGATTTTTAATGCCTTTCTTGCTTCAGGCCTTAACATTCGGGGTGAATTTGGATCTGATGGACCTTTTAGGATATCAAATAAAGGTCCCAACTCTCCTATTGGTATACCTAGATAAGGCCTTATCCAATTTATGTCTCCTAATAACTTTTGAAAGTTGTTAAGTGATTTGAGTTGATCTACTCATATTTGAATTTTTGGTGGACAGACCATGGTTGAGGATAATAGAACTCCTAAATAATTAATTGGAAAATTTAATTGTACTTTATCTATTGCTATCTCTAGATTATAATTTTTTAATAAGTTTGTAAGTGTGGCATAATATTCTAGCAATGTGTTTTTATCTTTGTGTACTAATAATACATCATCCATATAGTGAAATATTTGTAGTTCAGGATTTTGATTTCTAAGTGGCTGGATTACATTGTTAACATAAATTTGACACATAGTTGGGCTGTTAGCCATCCCTTGAGGGAGTACTTTCCATTCATATCTCTGATCAGGACCTTCATGATTCAGTGCAGGGATAGTAAATGCAAAACGTGGACTATCCTCAGGATGAATTGGAATTGAAAAAAAACCAATCTTTAATATCTATAACTAAAACATACCAGGTTTTTGGCAAAGCAGACAATTGAGGAATCCCTGATTGAGCAGGTCCCATAATAACCATCTCATTATTAATGGCTCTTAAATCTTGCAATAATCTCCATTTACCAGATTTCTTTTTGATGACAAAAATGGGAGTATTATGGGGAGATACAGAAGGTTGTATATGTCCTTCCGCTAATCGTTGTTTGACCAGGTCATGGGCTGCTTGTATCTTTTCTTTAGTCAGGGGCCACTGAGGAACCCATACTGGTCTTTCTGATTTCCAAGTAATTTTGATTGTCTCAGTGGCCCCTTCTGAAAATCCAATCCATGCCTGTCTTTTCCTTGATCTATTTGTATTGGTGCTGCTAGACCTTGTTCTTGTTCTCCTAATCTTTTCCTTTCCTAAAACCTTGTCTAGCCCTAGTAGTGGGTGCATTTTGATTGTTGTTATTTGTTAATGTCAAACCTAATTGATCTAGGACATCGCGTCCCCATAAATTTACGGGAAGATGATCCAATACATATGGCTGTATAGTTCCTTCACATCCTTCAGGATCCTTCCAATCTAATACCATTGCACTTCTATGGGGATTAGTCACCACTCCTAGGCCTTGAAGCGTTTGAGTGGCTTGTTATAATGGCCAATGTTTTGGCCATTCTTGACGAGAGATGATGCTAAGGTCTGCACCTGTATCCAGTAGCCCATTAAATTCATGTCCTTGAATATTTAGTTTTAGCATGGGGCGAGAATCTAAATTTAAAGACAGCATAACCCAATCTACACCTGTGGAGCCTAATCCCCTGGAACCTCTTTTTACGGTACGACTGGAAAATTTATCATGTAGGCTGGGTATTATTAGTAATTGTGCTATTCTATCTCCTGGTGAAATTACTGATATATACCCTTTGGAGAACTGGCTATAATTTTTATTTCACCTTCATAATCGGGATCAATTACCCCAGGACTGTAAAATTCAGCCAATATTTTGGCCATTGCCCTTTAAAGTCAACTGGAACTCAGGGAATAACAGGAACCCTCTCTGGACCCTATAACTCTAGTGAGTCATGTGATCTGCTGATCAGGGAGATTTAGAGTACTCCAGAAAAGCAGGAAGCCAACTAGTGCATATTCTGCAAAAAGGAGGGTCACTGGATATGGAAATATTCCTGATGCTTCCAAGAGAAGTCACATGTGGTTGGTGAGGACCTGACTATTCTGACAGATGGTGCAACTGGTTTATTCATTATATGTGAGGGTTGGGGATGTAGCTCAGTTGGTAGAGTGCTTGCTGTGCATGCTCAACGCCCTGGGTAGAATCCCCAGAACTGCAAAAAACAAAAACCTCATTAAATGTGAAATGCTACATATATAAGTTCATATATTATATACAAATATTTGTTGTAGGTAGACTCTGATAAGAGGTCAATTTGTTATATCTTTCAGGCAACCACTTATACATACACAATAAGAAATTTTAGGTGAAAAACCGAGAGAGAAAATAAAATAAAATGCCAAAAAATGATATTTTAATTAAAAAAATTTAAAGATCTGGAGAAAGAAATAAAAGAAACATGGGATATGCAGGATGAAAAATCAGGGTGTTAGGTATATTAGAATTCTCCAGATAAATAGAAACAGTATGAGATGGAGGATGAGTATAAATAAGAGTAGTATGGCAAATAATTCCCTCAATTTTGGAAGCTGGGGAGTCCCATTCCATGTGTAAGATGCAGCAAGAGGAAAGCTTTGGTATAATTCAATCTGGGTCCTAAATCCCAAACCAGGGGCAGTGGGTAGCCACAGGGCACAAGTCCCAGAGCCCAAGGCCACAGAACCAGGATATTTGAAGTCTGAAGAGAAAACTGCAGCCCCAGCCCAAGAATAGAAAGGAAATCTGCCCTTCCATCTCCTTCTATGCTCTCTGGGCTGACCCTCCATGGACTGTATGATCCCAGACCACATTGGCGAGGGAGAACATTTTTATTTAGTCTACTGATTCAAATGCTAATCTCTTCCAGAAACATCCTCACAGACACACACAAACTATGCCAACTATCTTGGCATTCCTTAACCTAGTCAAGTTGACTCATAAAAGTACCCCCCCGTTTTACAAACTTCCATCACTGAGTGAAACAGTGTTGTACTGGTTTCCTAGAACCCACATACAGGTGACCAGAACTAAGTGGCTCAAAACAATGTTTATTTTCCTCGCAGCTCAGTGGCCAGAGCACAGAACCACACACCAGGCAGCAGTGGTTCCTTCTGTGTGCCCCAAGGGAGAACCTATCCCACGCCTCCCTCCTAGCTTCTGGTGATGACAGCAGTTAGTGGGGTTCCTTAGAGTGGTACTGCGTTGGCTTTCTCTGGCTTCTCTCTGAGAATTTCTATGTATCATCTTTTCTTACAAGGACACCAATCTTTGGGTTGAAGGTCAATTGTAATTCAGTTTGATCTCATCTCAACTGAATAACAACTGGAAAGACCCTGGCAAGATTGTTTATTGCTCACAATTGCATCTATATCCACTCTGTTAGTTAAAGATTTTTAGTCCATTATAAAAGTACATTCCTTAGTTTACCCAAAGCTCCCTTTTAAGAAAAAAATTCTCATAAATATTCTGAGGGGAAAGGAAAGGTCTCTTATCAAACAGAAATTTTCTTATCACCAAAGAAGTCTACATGTCTGTTTAGATAAACAGAATGTCAGGAAAATTACAGAACCAAGATATTCACAAGTTTAAATGGTGAATAGGGAGAGAATGGAAGAGATGTAGCATGGGATGAGTGTGAGGGAGGAGAGAACACAGAAGTAAAAAAAAAAAAGACTCAAAGGAAATAGAAAAGTGAGAGAACACATGTAAAATAAAAATAAAAAACCAAAAGGAAAACAAAATATTCTAATCCTATCCCTCAAGATGCTGAGCCATAAAAAATAACTGCCTTCAAAAGATCCCAGAAATGAGAAAAAGTGAAAATGATGCATATGTATAAGTGTCCATGAACCACCCAGGTCACAATAAACAGAAATAAATAAGATTTCAGTGAAAAGTTAAAGAATTATTTCCATTGGAGTTCAAAGAATTCTTGGGGCTTCCCTTCTCAGCAGTGCTGGATGGGCTGGGCTGGATGTGAGAGAGATCCCAAAGGTAGAGATTCTGGAGGTGGGGTGCAGGCTGAGGTGGACTCCATGTTCGTTTTCAGATGGCGACTGATCTGAAGATTTTAAATCAGCACACCTCCAGGCCCAGCATTTGCTGGTTCATGATGGTTGATTGCAGCCCAGGTACCTCCCCTGAGTTCCTCTCATGTGGCTAAGGAGCCAATCCTTTCTCCCCTCCATCACCCACTGATCCCGTGCTTTCTGGTCTCTAAGGTTCAGTCTCCAAAGCAAAGTATGCCTACTCCTGCCCTTTCAAATTCCCAGCCAGGTGAGTCTCTTCCAGCAGTCCTGTGAGCTGCTGGACTCAAATGTGGAGGGAGCTGGGCTGGGGCGTGAGGGGCGCAGGGGGGGTGTTCCATGACCTATATTACCCTGTGTAAACCCCTCTCCACATCTGATTTTCTCCTGGTCACTTAGGCACTCTTTGTCATGTGTTGTGGGTTTGCCAGCCTGAATCCTAGGCCCAAGTTGGTCCACCTGGGATCAGTTCCCCCAACTGCCCGCCCCCATAGCACAGCTGAAAGATGGCTCCTTGTTGGCACTAGGATGTGGTTCAGCATGCCTGTCACGTTAGTCCCCAGTGACCGGCCTCTGATCTCTCTGTACCCAAACATGTCACAGGTTTACAAAAAAACATGGGTTCTTTTAATGTCCCCACCTCTCCACTTTGCTTGGCTGGCACTGGGGATTTCTTCCTTATTTTACTGCATCCAACTTCCATAGTTCCCATTGTTTGACTGCAGTATGAATTCCCAGTTATTTACCCTCTTTTTATCCATCCACCTTTCAGAGAAGATGCCTTTCTTGGTTTCATGCCATGGAGGAGCCAGGAAAGGAACCTCTTCTATTCTGCCATCTGGAAAGCTCCCTCCTGCAATTAGATTCCTGATATAATCAACTGTGATACCCATGTGTTCTCTAGTTTTCAAAAGTGAGGCTACTTGGTAATGTTTGAATCACAATAAACAAATTCCCTTTCAGTGATAATCTATCGAAACTATACTATTTCTGTGGGGATTTCATTATTTCTACCACGTCAGCTAATGATGTTTAGTAAATTTTGGAAAAGTTAAAGTCAATTACCCATTTTCTTTATTAAAAGTGATAACTCTCAATTATCCTCATATACATGAAGATATGTTTAGATAGGGACTCTAGACAAATGTCATTCCACATTCACTACAGATATGAGGTTTCATATTTTAAAGAAAGTTTGAAATTTGATTAATGGCTTGGACACATTACTTACATTTTTTAGGGTTTCAATGCATTATGAATCCTCCAGTTTTTAGCATATTTGAACAATGGCTAAAAGCCTTGTGATATCTTTCCACTTGTATTCTCTCTCAAAAGTATGAATTCTCAGGGGCTGAATATGGTGTGAATGAACAACTGTTGGAAATTTTGCCACTTTTTAAAAAATATCTATTTCTCTCTGTTGATTCCTCCTGTGTAGAATAAGGGTTGAACCATCCTTTGAGGCATTGGGAGAATGTTTCATTTGTAGGGCTTCTTTCCAGTATGAATTCTTTGGTGTTGAGTAAGGCTTGATCTGTGATAAAAACCTTTGCCGCATTCTTCACAAGTGTAGGAATTCTTTTCACTATGAATTCTCTGGTGTTGAGTAAGCTGTGATTTTTGAATAAAAGCCTGTCCACATTCTTCACATGTGTATGGCTTCTCTCCAGTATGAAGTCTTTGATGGTAAATAAGCTTTTCTTTTTGACTAAAAGCTTTGCCACATTCTTGACAACTGTAGGGTTTCTCTCCTGTGTGAATTCTCTGGTGTCGAGTAAGCAGTGACTTGTGCCCAAAAGCTCTGCCACACTGCGCACACGTGTAGGGCTTCTCTCCAGTGTGAATTCTCTGGTGTTGACCAAGGTTTGATCTGTCATAAAAAGCTTTGCCGCATTCTTTACATGCATAGGGCTTCTGTCCTGTATGGATTCTCTGGTGTCCTTTAAGAGCTGATATTTGCTTAAAATCTTTGCCACATTCTTCACATCTATAGGGCTTCTCTCCAGTATGGGTCCTCTGGTGTCGAGTAAGTGGTGATTTTTTAACAAAAGCTTTGCCACATTGTTCACATTTGTAGGGCCGCTCTCCAGTATGAATTCTCTGGTGTTCAGTAAGCAATGATTTTGTATTAAAATCTTTGCCACATTCTTCACATTTGTACGGCTTCTCTCCAGTATGAATTCTCTGGTGGCAAATAAGATGTTCTTTTTGACGAAAAGCTTTGCCACATTCTTTACAATTGTAAGGCTTCTCTCCAGTATGAAGTCTCTGGTGTTGAGTAAGCAGTGATTTATGAACAAAAGCTCTGCCACATTCTTCACACTTGTAGGGCTTCTCTCCAGTATGAATTCTCTGGTGGAGAGAAAGATTATCTGTTCGTTTAAAAGCTTTTCCACATTCTTGACATTTGTAAGGCTTCTCTCCAGTATGAATTCTCTGGTGCTCTTTAAAATATAATCTGTGTTCAAAAACTTTGCCACATTCTTCACATTTGTAGGGCTTCTTTTTAGTATGAATTCTTTGATGTTGTGTAAGGTTTGACCTGTAATAAAAACTTCTGCCACATTCTTCACATTTGTAGTGCTTCTCTCCAGTATGAATACCCTGGTGATCTTTCAAAGATGATCTTTGTTTAAAACCTTTGCCACATTCTCCACATTTGTAGGGCTTCTTTCCAGTATGAATTCCTTGGTGTTGAGTAAGGTTTGATTTGTAATAAAAACCTCTGCCACATTCTCCACACTTGTAGGGTTTCTCTCCAGTATGAATTCCATGGTGTTGAGTAAGCAGCGATTTTTGAACAAAACCTTTGCCACATTCTTCACAATTGTAGGGCTTCTCTCCAGTATGCATTCTCTGGTGTCGAGTAAGCAGTGATTTGTGAACAAAAGCTTTGTCACATTCTGTACATCTGTGGGGCTTCTCTCCAGTATGAATTTTCTGGTGATCTTTAAGATATGATCTTTGATTAAAACTTTTGCCACATTCTTTACATTTGTAGGGCTTCTCTCTAGTATGAATTATCTGGTGGTCAGTAAACAATGGTCTTCGATTAAAACCTTTGTCACATTCTTCACATTTGTAGGGCTTCTCTCCAGTATGAGTACTCTGGTGTTGAGTAAGAATTGAAAAAATTTTTAAGACCTTGGCACATTCTTCATATTTGTAGGATCTGCCTGCAGAAGATATTATCAGGTGTTGAGTATCAAGTGAGCTTTTTATTTTGTCACTGCTATGCTGCTTGAGATGTTTAGAAGAAGTTGAGCAATTGTTAATGGCTCTGCCACTTTCTTTAGATTCACAAGACTTCTTTCCAGCATAAATCCTCACATGTTTAACAGAAGGTGATCTCTGATTAAGAATTTTGCCACATTCTTTAAACTTGTAGGGTTTATCACTGTCATGGTATCTGTGGGGTTTAGAAAGGGTTGAACAATGAAATGCTTTGATATCTTCTCTTTTTTATATTTATAATTTTATTTAATTAAAAACATTTTTTTGATATATTCTTTAAGCTCATAAGAATCCTTTCCAGTATAAATTCTCTTCTATAGAGTAAGTTTTGCAATTTGATGAAGAGCTCCTTCATACACCTTACACTCACAAGGCTTGTTTTGCCTATGAATATTTGGATGGGAGTAAGTTTTGAGTACTGAAGTAAGGCTTCCCCACATTGTTAATAAATGTTCTTTGAAAAGTGAACATATTAATATTCATGATTTCTGGCACTGCAACCAATACTAAGGTTTTTATAAGTTATTCTATATTCATATTTTTTATCACTAATAAAAGCACACTGGTAATCAGGGCAGAGACCTGGCTAAAGGTGTTACTTGTTTCATTACATATGTAGATACTTTTCATAAATCTGTATCTGAATTTTCATTAAGCAATAGTGGGTAAGTAAGGACTCCCTAAAAGCATTAAAATTGTATGACCATAAGGAGGAATTATTGCTTTATTGCAGGATAATGGACATTGTGTAAAGGAACTCTCAAAAGATCACTTTCAGAACTTGTCCTTAATGTTTTAAAATTTGTTCCAATTGTTGTACATGGAATGCATTTTGATACATCATACATAAATGGAGCATAACTTGTCATCTTTCTGGTTATACACTATATAGTTACATCAGTCATATAATAATATATGTGAATAGAGTAATAGTGTCCAATTAATTCTACTTTCCCTACCCCATATCCTCTCCCTCTTTTCCGTCCCTCTTTCTGACCCAAGTAGCTCTATTCTTCACTAGCTTCCCGCCCATTGTGTCCCCCTCACTTTTAATCTCTTGTCTATACAAACATTTGACTAGAAGTTTAACTCAATGCTACATTTGAAAAGGGTCAAGTTAAAAACTGAAGCATGGAATAGATCTCTTTTCAGATTTTCCACACTTCCTTTCAGAGGAAATATATGCTTCAAAACTGCTCTGGATATATTCTTAAAAAGACATTTATAGTTCCTCAAAAGAAACTGGCATAAATTTAATTCTTTTAGAATATTAAATGTTTTTGATGGCTGTTGGCAGTGAAGTTTTCATTATGAATAGTCACTGCTAATTGGTTTTGTCCCTTGTAATATGATTTCTGACCTTCATTCTCACTTGCAGTTTCCCACATTTTTCTTAGATGTAAATACTCAAAGTCACAATTTCCATACCTTCCCTTCATTATTTTTTGAAACAAATATTTTATTTCCTGCTTTGGTGGAGATTCAAGGGTATGATGAGAAGTCATGGCTGAAATAAATAAAAATAACAATCATTTTACTTACTGGACTGAATGAATATATTTTGCAACAATAATATAAAATTATACACATGTCAGGATATCAGCAGTAAATCCAAGACCATCATTATTCCAGAAATATGCAGACTAAATAAAAATGTTCAGACAAAATTACTTTGTGAGAACTGCCCAAGCCATCTTAGAGAACACGGGATCCAAGATGAGTACATTACTAAGGAAAGGAATATAGCAGAGGGAAGAAAACTATGTTCCTTTTATCAATCACACTCTACCCTCCTCCATAATATAGCATTGTGCAATGAGAATAAAATCTACCAACTCCCTACAATCTCAGTAGTACGAGGGAAATATGAAGCACATGCAAATATTTGTGGCTTTCTTAGGTACTGTCTGAAAATTAGTTTGTGTCTGTCATGACATAAAGACTTGAAGATAAGAGATTTTGGATGACAATACCACAGAGACGGTCAACAGGGGCAAAGAGCCTATGGACTCTAAAAAAGAAATATGAACTAAATTATAAGTTGAAAATATACACACACATGCTTCAAAAGAGATTCACCATTAAAAAAAAGCATGAGACGCAATAAAAACCTAGCACAGCCTATGACCACATTACCTGGATGAAGCCAATACACAGGACTTGTATTTCATGTTTTTAAATTTTTGTTATTTGTAGACTTATTTCATTGATAAGTTAAATTTTGTGTATATAATAAGTATACCATGTATTATAAAGTACATGTACATGGTAAAATGACTAATCCTAGTGGATTAATGCATGCATTATTCCGTAAAATTATCAAGTCTTATGCTTAGAAAGCATTGCATTCATTCAATTAGTATTTAACAAGAGTACAGCACACCACACTCATCATGTGGTAAAATACAACTACAACTATTGACCTGATTGCCGATTTAAAAAAAGTGTAGGGGCTGGGGTTGTGGCTCAGAGGTGAGTGCTTGTGTACAGCAGGTGAGGCACTAGGTTTGATCCTCAGCACCATATAAAAATAAATAAGTAAAAATAATGGCATTGTTTCCACCTAGAACTAAAAAAAAATATTAAAAAAAAAAAAGTGTAGAGCTTGACCAACACTGTGCCAATAGTCCACAAAATCCAGTACCTGGTGACCACGATTTTATTCTCTGCATTTCTGACTTCCACCTGTGAGTCAGATGCTCCTTCAGCTGATTTTCTTTGTCTGCCTTATTTAATTTAACGCAAAATCCTGCATATTCATTCAAGGTCAGTTGAAATGATGAAGTATCTCTCTTTTATGGCTAAATAGTAATCATGTATAAATACCACAGTTTTTCTCATTCAGTCATTGATGGGCACAGAACATAAGTCCATGTTTCAGTATTGTGAACAATGCTTGCAGTGAACATGGTAGTGGAGGTATCTCCTCAACATGCTGATTGATTTCTTTTGTGGATACATATTTAGTACCTACATTTCTCGATCACAGGGTCATTCATTCTATTGTTAATGTTTTTATATGTGTGGTGCTTGGGATTAAGGCCATGGGTCCTGTATTGCTGAGCTACAACAGAAACCTTTTAAAAATCATTTGAGACATGGTTTCACTAAGTTGCTGTGATTTGCCTTGAATTTGAAATCCTTTTGCATGGCTTCCTAATTAGCTGGGATTACAAGCATGTAGCACTGTGCTTGCCTATTTTTCATTTCTTTATACACTTCCAGACTATTTACAAAAATGACTATATAATTTACTGTTTACTGGTTTTTAAATGAATAAATCAATTCAAATAGTACAGCACATAAAAACAAAGATGGCTTAACCTAGGTAACAAAATATTAAGAATTAAACATGAGGAAAGTGGGAGTCATTAATTACTGAAAGATACCACTCCCCATTTGAAAAAAGTAAAGTGACCTAACCAGGAACACAGAAAACTAAATAAAATTCAGACAAAACTTGGTAAGAGAAATAAGCAGAAATTGTGTATGTGAAGAATTCTTTTAAAAGACTGTCTGAGAGAGTCGCGGGTGATTGTATACAACTGATTCTAGCAATCTGAGAGGCTAAGCCAGGAGGCCAGCCTCAGCAATGTACTGTCTGTCAAAAACTTTACAACATGAAGACGGCTGAGTTATGTAACAGAGTGGTAGAGCACCACTAAGTTCCATCCCCAGTACCAACAAGAAAGTCAACAATTATGAATACTATAAATAAAACAAATCAAGATCCAAGAAGCTCAGTTATCTCAAAGTAGGGCAAACAGAAAGACTCAAAGAATGATTTAATCAAAGTTTAAAAATTCAAGAGAATCTGAAAAGCACAGAGAAAAAGATGCATCAATTAAAAAGGGAAATTTACATGGCAGAAAGGAATGGGGAATATTGCCAAATGGGTAAAAGATTTAAAATTACCAACCAAGAATATTGTATCCAGAAATACTATCTTTCAAAATTGAAAAAATAAATCAATAAATAAAAGATTTTAAAATACGAAAATGCTCAAAAGTTCACCACCACTAGAGCTGTCCTCCAAAAACACTAAGGGAATTTTTCATAGTGAAGAATAAATCTGCACAACACCACAACTCATAAAGAAAAGAATACAGTTTTCTTGGCAGAAAAAAAGTCACATACAATTCTATTTTACTGTTAACAATGGGTTATAAATTAATTTTGAAACAGAATTTCAAAGACAAAAGTGTAAAAATCAACATAAACTTTAAATGGGAATGCAGTACAAAATCTTCAACAACATAATTTTGAATGAATATATTAATATGCCGAATTTTATAATGAAGTTAATTTGTTACCAGTTTAAAATATAGTGTGAACTTACAGCAAACTTTATAAGTTTCACTGAAAATGAGGGAATAAATTCCCATAGAAAGTGTAAACAGAAGTGGGGGAGGAATGAAAGCTTGTCACCATGAAAAGCAAGGAACCACAAATTGGACCATTAAGAGAAGTGAGAGGAGCTGGGGTGGAGCTTGGTTGGTAGGTGCTTGCCTCACATGCACAAGGCCCTGGGTTCACTCCCCAGCACCACACACACACACACACACACAGTAGGTAAAACAATCATAAGAAATACAGAAAACAGCTAACAAAGTAGGAGGAATGGGTTCTTCATTTGTAGAAATTTACTTGATTATGAATGCATTATTACCAAACACTAATCAAAACAAAAAGCTTGACTAAGACACAATGGTATGTGATCTACAGGAAACTCTAAATCTAGGACATAAGTAGACTGAAAGCAAAAGAATATGAAAATATGAATACGAGAATATGACCACAAGAAAGCCGGGCCAAAAAGTGATGATATGCAAAATGTAGCTTAAAACAAAAAGTTACGAGATAAAATAGAATTTAACTTAAAAAAAAACTTTGAAAAGAGGCAAAGTAGAATATTATATAAAGATAAAAGGAACCTTTCCCTAGGATACCGAAATAAGACTAGATAGACTTTCAACTCACATCACATTTCCCCGATATAAAAAGATGGAGAGAAGTGAATGAAGAAATAGAAAGCAACACTGTAATATTAGGAGACACCAATCCCCATTTTTTGTAAAGGAAAAGTCCCATAAAATGTTAATCATAAAACAGAAGACTTTGAAAGACATTTTAAACCAATTTGATGTATGTACTCAATATTCCACTAGCAAATGGACTATTATACTAGATCGACCAACTTGTAGGGAATGAAACAAAGGTTAATAGATTGGATTAAATACTCTTGAACTGGCCTTGTTCAAGAACTGAAAGATAAAATTGAAAGATGTTTGTATTACTCAACAATATCTGGAAAGTCCATATAATATCTATCATATTCCCAATGTTACTTTTTTGCAGAAACAGAAAAAGCTATTCTAGAAATTGTCTGGCAACTCAAAATTGTGTGACTACTTTAAAAATATTCAAAATACAAATAAAATTGGAAGACTGTTGTTTTATGACTTAAAAATATATTAAAAGCTACCAGATTCAATAGTTAATATTGAAATTAAGTTAGAAAAATAGGCATAAGGAATTCTGAGTGTGATAATAACAGCAACGTTTGTTACAATATCATTCAACAGAGCCATCATGTGGAAGCAACCCAAATATTCCTTGAAATGAGTGGATGAGGCAATATGGAATATAAAAAGCATAGAATATTTTTAAGTCAAAAAAGGTAAGAAATTTTCTAAAATCTATAATGAGGATAAATCTTAAGTACATTATGTTAATTGAAATAAGTCATTAACAGACAATTTCTGCAGAATTATATTAATATGAGATATATAAACTAAAAACAAAACAAAAAAGTGCCTTCTGAACAGAAATGAGAATGGTGTTTGTGATGGGGGACACAGAAATGAGGCCTTGTTTCTATAGGAATTGATTTTTTAGCTTTCTGATAGGGAAACTTTCAGGAGATACACTGCATAACAATTGAATTAACACTGCTGAACAGTAAACTTGAAATGTTGGAGAAAACAAGTTTTTTTTTGTTTGTTTTTGATCAAAATTAAAATTTCAAACAACATAAATTGATAAACAGAACTACAAAATTTTTGAAAGCTACCATGAAAATGCTATGGTCTTTTTCCTATAAATAAGAACAAACTCAACAATATATAAATGATGGGAATGCAAGTAATCCCAGCTACTAGCAATTCTGAGGCTGGAGGATTTTAAATTCAAAGCCATCCATGATAATTTAGTGAGGTCCTCTCTCCAAATATAAACAAAGAGAGGCTGGAGATGTAGCTCATTATTAGAGTACCCCTGAATTCAATCTCCATCACATTCACATATAGGAAATTTCCATCACTATATACACTGGCAGGTGAAAAACCAATCCAGATAAAATATAAAAGTCTTTAAAAATACAGGTGTAATATTTATACAAGCAAGTAAAAGCACATGTAAATTTTATTGGTTACAGAAACAAGGTTCATGCATAGCTTAATTTCAATTTACATTGTCCTAATTTGTGAAGTAATGAAAATTGTCATCTAATCACAAAATATAACACTATTAATTGATGTAATGAAACCTACTCTACAAAATGAGAGGAAAAAAAATTTAACCAACAAAATTGTAAATAACCACAGATGCATTATTTTATAAACCCTTGTGTATAAGTGCAATTTATACTTGTGACTATAGACCAACAGAGCAGCCATTGTGAATCTTGACATTACGTGGCAGAAAATTTCTGAGGAAATCCATTATAGATATTCAGAAAGAGCTCTGATCAGGGAATTTTAATGAATAAATATACAAGTAATGTCAGAGAAACTGATTGATGATGTTAATATTTTACAATGGTTTGACCTGGAGGTCTCTGGAAACTTGCCCAGCTTTCCTAGAGACCTGAACATCAAGGAAGAGCTGTCAGATCTTGCTGACCCTCACAAGCAAAGGGAAGTGTTGTGGTGGGTAACTGGGATGAACTGTGACCTCACTGGAGGACAATCAGGAGGCTTTACTGAATATGAAAGCATGACAGACAAGGCAGTACGTGTTCTTCTATGACAACAACAGGAAGAAAACTAAGCATCTGAAATATCTTCTCTGCTGGGATAACTTCTCAATCAACAGTTTGAAGTCTGGCTTCCTCCTTGACCTTTGGGCCTCTTAACTGTGTCCTCTGCTATGTGTAGGTCACAATATTTTACATCACTGAATTACGCTAAGTACCACTTATCTAGAATACTATGTCACACCAAGAAAGGGAGAGATTAAAGATTAAAAGAAATGTAACTAATATTCTATCTGTACCCCAAAATGCCCTTTTTTCTTGAAACTACAAATGTGAAACTCATTCTTACAGAAAACACCTCAAAAGATATTCTGCAAGGAAAGGGAATTAAATATTGAAAATAATTAGGAATTCTGAAGGGAAGTAATCCTCACCCAGGAAGACCAGGTTTCTGTAGTTCTCTAACATCACATCTCTATATAAATTTTGCTGAGCAGGATCCAGGCATTCCCACTCCTCTTCAGAGAAATCAACGGCCACATCCCTGAATGTCATCAGTTCCTGGAATGAAAATTGGCATATAAATTGCATATTGACCACAAAGTCATTCACAGAGTTTTTAAAATTTAACTGAAGTTGAAATGAGATCTAGAAGAAATGGCTCTCTTGTAGGTGAGGGACTTCCATTATATAATAAGATAATTTTGAATACAATAATCCTATATATGATCTAACTCTGAGGAAAAAGTGAAGTAAGCATCAAAACAAGTGTATACATTTTGTTATGTTATATATCAGAAAAATTGTGTATTTTCCTCATGTGAGAGTGTTATGGTGATTTAGAAGGGTAATTCTCAAATTGTAATTGTACAACAATAAATCAAATTTATTAAAACAAGACTCTGAGTCAGCAGTTCTGAGATGGAGCCTGGTTTTCTGAATATGCAGTAAGCTCTCAAGTGATTCCAGTAATAGCCATACAAGATAAACTTTGAATTGCCAGGAGGCAGACCACTGAAGGAAACATTCACTGATGAGTCTTACTTCAAATATTTTATGGGATTTATGTGTGTTAATAAAATAGCAAACAGCAACAACAATCCTTTTGATCATTTCAAATGTGTACAAATCACCCTAAGGGTTTTTCATATCTTAATCCGTAACACCCCAAATAATGAGATATTAAGAGTATTCATCAGGCTGGGGTTGTGGCTCAGCAGTAGAGTGCTTGCCTCGCACGTGTGGGACCCTGGGTTCGATCCTCAGCACCACATAAAAATAAATAAATGAAATAAAGATAGTGTCCAAAAATAAATGAAATAAAGATAGTGTCCAACTACAACTAAAAAATAAATATTAAAAAAAATTAAAAAGAGTATTTATCTTTTATAACATTTTATGAAGCATTCAGTAAAAGGCAGGGTTTACTTTTTACCCAAGTTTATTTGATCTGAAATTCAGAAGAAAAGAACATTAAGGTCAAAAGAAAGTGTGAATGTTAAAAGAATTTTCAGAGCAAGGCTGTTATTATAAATAAGCACAGTAATGGAAACCTGTTAACAAAATTGATCAAATGATATTTATATTTTATGTACAAAAACAAAAATGTCAACTTTTTATACATTAAAACAATAAATTTTCACATAGATGAAAAGAATTTACTCAATTTTTTAAAAACTTATAAATCAATTTGTAATAGACCTTTTTTTTAAAAAAACACTCTATTGACCCAGGCATGGTGGAACATGCCTATAATCCCAGCAGCTTGGGAGGGTGAGAGGCTGAGGCAGGAGGATTGCAAGTTCAAAGCCAGGTCCAGCAACTTAACAAGGCCCTAAGCAACATAGTGAGACTTTGTCCCAATTTTTTTTTCCCAAAATTAAAAAAAAAACACCAACAACAAAACAACAAGATGTGGTCAGTGGTTAAGTGGCCATGGGCTCAATCCCTGGTACCAAAGCAAAAAAAAGTAAATAACTCTCTGTGGGTCAAAGAGACTCTGAGAAGGCTGATCAATGTCATCACAAAGATGATTTTGTTTAAGGAGGTGGTAAACTGCCCCTAGAAGAAACAATACCTTCTCAAGAGGGAAGCATTGATAAGGATCTGAAGCCTATTGTAGACAAGTTCTTAAAAGATGGATTTGGTTAGTTTTGCCAAATACCCTGTAATACCGCAATTCTGGCTGTTTAATTAAAAAAAAAAAACAAAACATGTATACACACACACACTGATGAATACTTACTTGGGCAAGACCTGAGAGCTATAAATAACATCGTTTCTGATATTCAGCCACACAGTACCTAATCCATACACCTTACTAATGGTGATGTCAGGTAACTGTGTCTGGTTCAAAGTGCTAGATTTAAAAGATGAGTTCTTTTGCAACACTCTGAAAAGGAATCCCTAATCACTGTTTGCTTTTGAGTGACAGGACTTCAAGAAAAAATAATCATCCAGGATTGCTGGAGTATCTTATCTCATGGATTTAAAAATCTTTTGTACTGTTTAATGAAAGTTTTAAAGTATCAGCTGTGAGAGTCATAGCTGGATAAAGGAATCCTTTCACAATATGAAGATGACCTGCTTATAGCCAACTCCCAACTATGAATTCTGATTTTCAAATACTATTGCTGAGCTAAACCACTGCACCTCATGTGGATATGAGATGTCTACTAAAGTGGCTTATTTTGTAAACAAGTCACCTACCCGGGATTCCAGATTAGCCAATAACCTGAATCTTGATATCGGAGCAGAACAGGCTAGCTTAAGCCTTAAAGAAGTCAGAAACCAGAGACAGGTTCATGGGTTCCTGGAAATGTCAGTGTTATGATTTAGATATTTCGTGTCCCCCAAAAGTTCACGTGAGACAATGCAAAGTTCAGACATGAAGTGACTGGGTTATGACAGTCTTACCTAGTCAGTGTATTAACCCCTGACAGCTGCAGCATGGTAACTGTAGGCAGGCAGGGTGTGGCTGGAGGAGGGGGGTCCCTGGGGACACACCTTTGGGATTTATATTTTTTCCTTGTTGAGCTCTCTGCTCCCTGGTACCATGTTCCCAGCTGCTTTCCTCCACCAGTCTTCTGCCACAATGTTCTGCCTCAGCCCAAGCCCTGAGGAATGGAGTCAGCTACCTATGGACTGAGACCTCTGAACCCAGGAACTCTGGAATAAACTTCTCCTCCTCTAAAATTGTTCTTGTTGGGAATTTTGGTCACAGCACTGAAAAAGCTGACCAAAACAGTCAGCATGCTGCATATTTGGGTCGCTAATTTTGGGCTCGTAGGTAAACTCCTGCATGAGGCCTTAAAAGGAACAAATAAAACATTTCACTGTACACAGAAGGCCAAGCTGCCTTTGAGAAGTTAAAACAAAATCTTGTGAGAGCCCCTGCCCTGGGCCTGCCTGACTCACAGAAGGTGTTAAGACTCTTCATGAATGAGAAACAAGGTACAGATGTTGAAGTTCTCTTACACACACTGGAGGTATACTGCAACCAGTAGCCTGTGTGTGGGAACAGCTTGACCACACCATGAAAGGAGGGTCCTGTGGGGTGTGACTGACACCAGTGATTTACCACAAGAGGCTGAGAAACCCACTCGGACAATCCATCACTGGGTTTGTTGCTCATCAAGGCCTGTCCTACTAAAACAGAAGGATGGGTGTCAGCTGACTGCTGGGAGGGTAGGGAGATTCCAGGCCATCCTTTTCGACAATCTAAATGTCAACTTCAAGAGAAACTGTGTCACCTTAAATCAAACAAACCTGTTGCCAGCAGATGACAATGGACCAATACAATGTGACTGCTCAGAAAGCTTGGAGACTGGGCTGGGGATGTGGCTCAAGTGGTAGCGCGCTCGCCTGGCATGCGTGCGGCCCGGATTCGATCCTCAGCACCACATACAAACAAAGATGTTGTGTCCGCCGGAAAAAAACTAAAAAAAAAAATAAATATTAAAATTCTCTCTAAAAAAAACAAGAAAGCTTGGAGACTCTTTGGCAAGTGGGACTTGCTTGATTAGCCTATCACTGAGCCAGACTGAAGTGTCTTCACCAATGAAAGCAAGTTCATAGGCAATGGCCAGTGGATACCTGGGTATTCTGCAGTCATGGCACATGACTCTGCTGCCAACAACATCAGCCCAGAAAACCAAGTTAAGTTCTCTCACATGAGCTCTGACTGACCAAAGGAAAGAAGGTAAGCATTTATATTCACTCAAAACATGCCTCCAAGATGGTACATGCACACGGAGATACCTGGAAAGAAAGAGGACTCCTCACAGCTGAGAAAAGGACACTAAGTCTGCCCTTGAAAATACTGTTAATAATACAGGCTGTGTCCACCCCATAGCAGGTGGTAATCGTGCACTATCCTGCCTTGAGACAATTGATACCTGGGTGGCCAGGAGAAATCAGGCTGCTGACAGGGCAGTCAAAAGTGTCAGGAAGGACAAACTCCTTTATCAGGGCCCTAGCATCTCAGTTTGTAGCAAACCAATTCCAAATCTGTTTATACTGAGGATAATGAGAAAAGGGGCAAAGAATGGAGTTGGGACTCTGGGACAACAGTGCCAGGTGCAGACAGAAATTGCATAGGCTCACCCCTCTTCCTGAAGCACCCTCTGTTCTTGATGAAACACTCCAAGGAGAGTGCTACTAGGGGAAGGGTGTCGATTTCATCAAGCCCACTTGTGAGGGCCATGCCTCTAGTGGACTGTTCAGCAAGTGATTCAGAACTGTGTCTTCTGCACTCAAACAATTCAAAGTCTAATACACACTTAGGGTATAAAAACATAGCCTTCTGATGACTGACAAGCATACTTTACCCAAATGCCCATTCATAGGAACTTATAAATATTTGCTTGTACCGGTAGATACCTTCTCTGTGAGTCAGGCTGATTCTACTAGAACAGAAAAGACTTCAGAAAACTAGAGTCCTCTTAAAGGAGCTGATCCCAAGTTATGGGCTCCCCTCAATACAAACTAACACGGACTATCTTTCATTGCAGAACTGATCTATGAGTGAGCAAAATATTGCATATATAATGGAAATATGTATTCTGGAGATCCCAATCTACAGGAAAACAGAAATCATCAACCATACCTTAAAAAAGACGGTGGCTAAAATATGCCAAGAAACCCACCTGTTGTGAGACAGGTGTTTGCCAAATGCTCTCCTCAAAAGGGTTTCACAGCACAAGGACTAAATTGAGTATGGGGTGTGGTGCTGAGAGTCAAGGTGTCTGACTAACTTGTGGTTGTGGTGCGCTTGTGCTAGTATTCCTCCATATGAAAATATAGGGTTAACATTTCCCTGTGCACAAGTACAGGGTTAACATTTCCCAGTTGCTATGGCAATGCTGGCTCTTGGTCTCTCTGGGAAAATATCCAGAAATGCCAGTGTTAACCTTGAGTCACAGACACTGGCTTCTAAGAACAGAGGATTCTGAACACAGCATGGTAACCATAATGTTTTGCTGTGCTGTAACCTTCAAGCCTGCCTGTTTCCAGAAACTTTCTCACAATCAACCTTCTGATGATAAAACCATACA